TCCTCCTCCTCCTCCTCCTCGTGGTCCCGCCGCCGCGGCGGGGAGGGAGGGAAGGCGAAGGCCGGACCCCCCACCATGGGCAGCGCGGCCCGGTTCGCCCGTGGCGGCCTCGCGGGGCGCAGGGCCGGGCACCCCCAGCACCGGCACCGGCACCGGCAGCGCTGCACACATGGAACCGGCCCGGAACCGGCCCCTGCTCCGGCTCCGGCTCCAGTCCTGGTGCCGGCTCCGGCTCGCCACGCAGCCCCACGGGACAGAGCCCCACAGGGGCTGCGGCTCCAGGAGCCTCCCCGGGAATCCTCCATCCCAGGAATGCTCCATCCCGCGGGAGCCGGAGCGGGCAAGTGGCAAAGCCCACAGGGAGGCAGCGCGGCCAGTGCCACTTGGCCACGGTGAAGCCTTCCCAGCCTCTTGTGCCCCAAATCCGGCACCAGGGAAATGGGGCCAGAGCAGTTTGTGTGCAGGGGGTGCAGGGGGTGCTGGCAACGGCCCTCCCTGGCCCAGTGCAAGGGCTCCATCCCCCCGACCCGAACCCTGCACATCTTCATCCTGGTGGCAGCAGCCAAAGAGCAGCAGAGCTGCTGGTGCCAGGAGAGTTCAGCGCACAACCCTGCTCTCCAGCAACCCCTTCTCCAGGCTGCTGTGGGGCTGTGTCCCCTCCTGCCCTGCCAAACGGCCACCCTTCCTCCCCTCTCTGCCTTGTGGCAAAGCCATCCCCATGTGTTTCACGGGAAGGGGCTGCCAGGAGSTTCCCAGGTGGGTACAGGGCTGCAGGACCAAGCGTGCCCAAAGATCCACCCTCTCAAGCGCCAGCCTCGGCGCCCATGGAAGGGGCTACCCTGGGCATGGGAACCACCAAAGTGCTCAGAGCATCATCACCTTCAAGCAGACATTGCCGGGATCTCCCCCAGGCCCACGGGGGCAGCTTGGCACCCTCAGCCAAGCTCCATTCCAGCCGTGCCATGCACATGGGGCAGTCCCGAGCGCTGCGGTGACGCCGGGGGGCAAAGCATGGGAGCAGCTCCCGCTCCTCGCGCGGTTCAGCCCCCCAAGAAGGGGGTCTCGTCTCCCTTCATGCACCCTTAGCTGCTCTTTGCAGCTCCTTTGCTGGCACTGGGTGCCAGACCAGGGTTCCTCATGTGCCCGGGACACAGTTCCCTTCCCCCAGCTCGTTACAGCCACCGTTCCCTAACRTCCTTTGCGCTTCCGAAGCAATTTCTGGTTTGTCTTTTTTAAGAAAACAAAMCCCCCCCAAAAAGGCAAGCCACCCACCATATGTTCTCCCCTGAAAGGGGTAATTGTTAGCAGACCCTTCAAACGCGGGGGCGAGCGCGCCGYGCTGCCTCCCCTCCGTCTCCAACGCTTTATCCCGGCCCTGTCACCCTTTCAATGCGGCTTTGAGGGGCTCGGCTTTTTCTAACTTCCTTCCCGGGAAAAAGAAGGGGGAAAGAAAAAGCCCCGGGACGGAGCGCGCCGCGCTTTTCAGTGACCCTCTTCACTGCTCTCCCGTGCCGCCCTTTTCAATGTCTCCCGCGACACCTGACAATAACCGGGGCTGCAGCCCGGCCGCGACACACGGACCGGGATTTCGTCCCTTTTTTCCCATGCCTTGGAGACGGATGAGGAGACCTGCGAGGAGGAGCCAGCAGTAAAACCCACCCCAGGCGCTAAGGGGCTCCCCGAAACCTTTCCGGGGAGAAATGCGATTTTTAGGTGGACAACCAGCGTTGCTCACAGCATGAGGGAGGAAGGATGTTGTCCTTTGGCTTCACTCCTTTCTCCAGTAAAATACATCAGGATGACACCCAGGGCAATGTGCTGGACACGTCGCTAGAGTGTGCTGTGTGGGACGGCCGCGCGCCAACACCGGCACCGCGGCGCCTTCCCGGCACCCGCGAGCACAGGGAGCTGCCCCAGGCACCACGGGGACAGAAATCTGGAAAATAAGGCAATAAAGGGTAATAGAAATAAGACGCTAAGTGACTTTGCCCAAAATCGGGTGGCCTGGGAGTGCCAGAGCTGGAACGAGGGTCTGTCCGCTGGCTCGTTCGGCAACGGATGGAGATGCCCGACTCAGAAAGAGCAGTACAAAAACAAGCAATTAAACTGTTTYAGCCAAATCTCTCTGTTTTTTTAAAAAATATCATTCTTTTATTTGGACGCAAACAATCACGTTTGGAAGGACCCCCACGCAGGATTCGCCCCCCCAGGAAACTGGGCAATTAATTCACTCCAGAGGTAAAACACAACCCACAGAAGACACACAAATCCCACCACTCTGGTACAAAAGCCACGTGGCAATAAACTGCATTACAAACGTACCAAAGTGTTACCCAACTGATTCGATCCCAGCATCGGCCCCAGCATTCAAAGGCACAMGAGACCGAGCAGCGCTCAGCGTTACGTCCGTTTCCACCAGCAAATCGCCCGAGATTAGCATTAAAAAAATGTTATTCAACCCACATTTCATATTTACCCACCGAGATCAGGAAGAAAACAATCTCTCTGCGAGCTCGCAAGCGGTAAGAAATTAAGATTTGAAATGAAAAGCACTTTGTTACGGASCGGGCGGCGCACCGGGCGGCAGCGGGGATGCCGGGGAGGGCAGCAGCGTCCCCAGCTGTCGGGGTGACACAACCAGCACCGGTGCCGGTGGCACCGCCGGACACGGTGTTGCAGAAGCCCCCGCGTTTGGGGACAGTTCCTTCCGGATTGGGTTTTCCGCAGGGTTTTTCCAGCCGTTGTCAGCCCGGGTAGCACATGCAGCAGCCGGGGGCGGCGCGCTCGGCGGCGGCGCTGGGCCCATCGAAGAGCCTCTCCATGAGCTTGTGCTCGGCGATGATGTCCTCCACGCGGCTCACGTAGAGCAGTGACAGCAGCACGCCCAGGAACTGCCGGGCAGCACAAATAACCGGGCCAAATATCAGCACCCAGCAGCAAACGCACACCTAACACACGCACATCCGCAGCGCCCTCCACACAAGCGCCCAGGGCAGCGCTGGCACGTCATACACACATACATGGGGCTAACGGGCACGTATSGGGGGGTATCTCTACTGACAGACCCTCATCTTGTCCTTTCCCATGAGCATTTTGCATGCAGGGAGGCAAAGGAAGAGCATTTTGCATGCGGGGATATAAAGGCAATACATATTTCAATGGCCAATACGGCCAAAAAAAAAAGTTATTTATATATTTATATATTTATATATTTATATATTTAAATATTTATATATTTATATATTTATATATAAATATATTTATATATTTATATATTTATATATTCATAAATCCATATATTCATATATTCATATTTATATATATTTATTTAAAAGATATCTCTGCCGCCTTGAGCATCAGGAAGTTGTAGCGAACCCAACTAAGGGGAGGAAACGACTGGAAGGAACACAGTGAAACTCCCAATATTGCAACATTTTACGGAGCTGCTACCAAATCCACAAGGTGCCGTGGATAACTTAAGTCAAATATAAATGAAACCGGTGATTTAAGCCCTGCCCAGGCAGATTTCTGCCTGCCGCGGTACGAAGCACCAGCGCGGGGRCCTCGGCCGCGCGTTACCTGCGGCAGGAGGATGCCGAGGAGGACGCCGGCCATGATGCTGTAGTTGTCCAGGAGCCAGATGAGCACGGCGTTGGTGCAGCCGCGCACGTGGATCACGTGCTGGACGCTCAGACGCTGCGGAGCAACCGCCCAGGCGCTCGTTGCGCCGGGAGGACAGGGCACCAACGCACCGAGACGCCCAACTTACGGGTCCAACTCCCTCCGGGTGAATTTGGGAGCCCTCCCGCATCCACACGAGCTAATTCCCCAGTTTCCCATCCTCCCGCCTCTTTTCCCAAAGAGCAGCGTCCAGGCTCGGTATCGGAGCCGCTGCTGGAAGCGGCAGAGCCCCGTGCCACGGTGGACGGGCTCAGGCCAAGCAGATGCTCGAGGGCTTGGTGTGCCCGAGCCGGGGCGAKGAAGCCCAAATCAATGGATCTAAATGAACACAGGGCAGCCAGAGGGGTGACCCMTGTGCTGGAAAACCAACACCCGGGGCTGCCAGCGTGAGCCAAATGGCCCCAAGGAGCAGCATGARGTGCCGCTGGGATGGGCAAAGCCGGGAGCGGCGCTATCTCTTTTAAAACGGGATTATTCCATGTAAAATCCGGACTAGTGATTGCTTCGACTTTTGGGTGGACGTAAGCGCGCAGAGGAGCGCTCTGCAGCTGAGCAGAGGCAAGGGGAGAAGCCCAGCGCCGCCGTGCGCGCCGGTCACCGTTACCTCCTTGTCGAGCGTTTTGTACCCGCACATGGTGTTGATAATGTCGGTCTGCAACGAAAGCAACAGAACGGCGTCAAAAAGCCCGGAAAACCACCCGCTCCCTCCTCCATCTGCTCAGGAACGGCAGGTAGCCCCCCGGGAAGCCAAAGGCAACGCTGCCCTGAGCCCGACTTTGCAGCCGGTTGCGCTCCGAGCGGCCGCACTTATTATTTATTATCCTTAATAAATCCGTGGACGGGGCAGCAATTCCCGCAGGTCCCTGCTCAGCGCAGGGGCGACCCGAGCTCAGATCTCCCTGGCACCAGGAGGAGCAGGATCCAGCCCGCCGGCATTAGCAGGAGTTTTCCATGACTACAAAGGGAAGGAGTAATCACAAACCATATCTGCCGTCTTCCAGCCCAGCCTGTATTTGGAAGCGCTTGTCAAACACACAAGATTTATTCATCCTGCGATGCCTTTTTTTTTTTTTAATTTATTTATTTTATTTCTATTAAAGGCGGCCGCGGCGCTAGCAGGGTCCAGCCGAGCACATCCACGGCTCCGTCCCGCGTCCAGCTCCAATATTTTGGGAGGTTTTTGTTCGCAGGAACAAGGGCTATTTTGCATGACCATTAAAAAGCCAGAGAGTTCTGTGCCGGTCATCACTTTTTCCCTGCACCATCAACTGAAAGGGCTAAAAAAACACCCCCCCGAACCCTTTGGTTGGCTCGGCGCTGGTGAGGATCAGCATAAAATGCTTTCAGACACGCAGGCTCTCCTTAATTCCCAAGCACCTAAAGCAGAGCTGTTTAGCTTTGGTTTCTGAGAATAAACCAGGCTGCGGCGCAGGTTTAAACAGACTGCTCTCGTACAGCAAAAAAAAAAATGCACAGAATGCATAGCGTATATAATAAACCCTTCCCTAAATATATTTACATATATTTTATTTCTATATTTTATATTATAYATTTAATTTCCCTATTTTACTCTATATATTATATATTTAATTTCCCTATTTTACCCACAAATCAAAGCTGGGAAGCAAGAGAGGCAGGGGTTCCCCATGGGGTTTTTAAACCGAGGAAGAATTCTGCATCAAATTTAGGATTTAGCTGCAAGTGAAGAGCAATGGAAGGGGATTTTTCCTTCTTTTTTTAACCTTTTTGGGGGGATTTAGCATGGAAAAAAAATGAGGGCTGATGCGGTAAGGGAAGGCCGGGCTCGTTACCTTATTCCTGATGCAGCAGCTATAGGGCACCCCACAGGCGAGCGGCCCCGGCGCGGCACAGCTGTGATACGCGTTCTGCGACCAGTCCTGGAAATCCTCCCCGCCGCAGCACTTAAACTGGGGCAAAACCAAGCAAAAACAGCAGGAAAAAGAAAACAAAAAGGGGAAAAAAAATATATTTTAGCAGAAAGTTTGCGTTGCCAAAGTATACTCGTATTTGCAGGTAAAATAAGCAAGAGAAGGGAAACATTTTTTCATTAGCTCAGGCGATAAATATGTATATGAGATGTTTATAGGATGGGCTCAAGGGCAAGGATTAGTGCAAACTCGAGAAGAAAGGGCTCTGGGCACAAATATAGAGCTTGTTTAATAGGGAGTCTTGCACAAATACGTGATGCCCCCTGTCACTCACCAAGCACCAGAGCAAGTTGCATTGCCAGTCCTTAAAACCTGGAAAAACAACTTTTCAGATCTGGACGTTACTAAGAAATGTTTTAGATTCAATCAGTCCCGAGCTGTAAGGCTTTTTTCGAGGTGTTGGACTGTATTTTTGTCAAAGAAATGAGCCTAAAGCACCCAAGTGCCCAGGCAAGGGACCAACAAGCTCCAGCGAAATATTTTGGGCATAAATTCATAAGCAAAATCGAGATCAAGCAAACAAATTCTTATACGGTCTGAGCTGACAGCTCTTACTGAGAGTTCTTACACTGTAAATTAACCATTTACACCGTCTTTACACAATATTTATTTTACATTTCTGAATGAAGGAGTATAGGGCCATTTTGSTGTAGAGGGACATCATTTTGGGGAGCGCATGGAAACATGAGAACATGCTGAAGCCTAATGACAAAATTGCCTGTTTTTCACAGACTTTCCCATGTTGGCTGCTTTTCGAAGCAGGCTGCCCCTTCCACAACCATGTCATARAATCACACGACCATCTCCCAGCCAGCTTTTTTATATTATTTGGCACAATTCCCGGCATCATATGGATGCTGTAAGCGCCCTCCTGAGCGTGTGCCGCCTCTCCCATCAACTCTGGACTGTACGGCAGAGCTCTTGAGTAATCCAATAAACATTTCAACACAGCAGCCTTAAAAAAAAAGAGGCTATGAGTCAACTGCACAGGCTATTAGGTAACGTTTCGGCTGCGTCCAACRCGGTCGCCGAAACCCAGCTCTAGGTAAATACGCTTCTGTGAGCAGTGAGTTGGAATAAGGATGATATTAAGGATGATATTGCTGTGTTTTCTTGAGTAAAACCCACAAAAGTTGTTAAAAATTAAATGAAAACTTGACCATCGCTTGGCTGGAGAAGCTCCAAGGGGTCATGGAGGACCGAGCGCATCCCGGCGCCGCCGGCCACCAAAGAACTCCCTGAGAAACCTACCTTCTTCTGAACGAAGTCCATTATGTTCTTGAAGTCCAGGTCGTCGTAGTAGTTCTCGATGCCTCTCCTGATGTTGTCGTTGAGGAAGTCGATGGTCTAGGAGACAAAGCAAGACACGACCCGGCGGCTGCAAATGCTGAAACTGCACTAAAGAACAGGTCAAGGCCACGAGTGTTACTGGGGMGCATGAAAGAATATTAGAATATTAAGAAATATGGCAGGGACATTCCTTTTTATATTGGGCATCTAAATTTCCTCAGCTTAGCATATTAAAAATCAACACCCAAAGATGTTGTTATAGCTCAGGACATGAGGGGTAAAAAATATTCTCTTTTCAATATCCAATATAATCATAATCAACCAAAATGGGACTAATCATAAGCAGAACGTGACAACTTTCCTTTCCCTAGATCTGCTATAACAGTGATCCAAGGTAGATCCTTACAGAGCAAGAAGAAACCAGAGTATTTATAATAATTTTCTCTGCACTAGAAAGCCAAACGAAATACAGGGTTCCCATAGGAAGGATTAGAAATAATGAGGAATTTTGCAGGTCCAGCGTATCCCTGCAAGGAGGAACAGGTGTCCCTATGAGTTCTGTTTGCTGTAACCTATCCCAGCATTATCCATGCATTAAAGCAGGCTGTATGCAACAGCAGATATGCAAACCCTGGCTCCTTTTGAAAATACATGCCCGTGGAAGATAGGTGTTACGATAAGCATGACTCAAAGAAAGGCACGAGGACTTCCTAGACCGGAGAAGGAAATACCAGCAAGAAATGGAGAAAGAAAAAACCCACGGCACGCCAACGAGCCATGCAAACCAGCCAGCATTTAAATATAGGCTTATTATGCTAAGCTTTTATTAATTACTTCCTTCTCCACCCCTAACTAAGCCTAACTTAGCAGCAGTACTATTAACCAAACAAAAGCCTGATCCTTGAACGTAGATGCCCTGCCAAGGCAGCCAGGTAAGGTGGCAGGAAAGCTCCTCATGCAAAGAAAAAATAAAGTAAATATATATAATAATATATATATAATATTTTTAAAATATATATATATTTTATATATATATTATATATATATAAATATATATAATATGTATGGAAATATATACACATAAATATATAAGTACATATAAATATGTGTGGTTTTTATATACATATATTTTATATATATAAATATTTTATATATAAATATATAAAATATATATATAATATATATTTATGTGAGACAGCCAGAAGCAATTCTTCCCCATCCCCTGAGAAAACTAAGAAAATGCTAAGTATTTATTTGCTATAAGCCAGATGCCCCTCATGCAAGGCCAGATACGTCCAAAACATATTGGCTGCTAAAAAAATAAWCCCATCCAGGTCTTCAAATCCAGTTGGAGACTTCCCAAATCAGCAGCCTGAGACACAGAATGGAAAACGAAAAGAGCTTTTTGTTATATGTTAAGGGATGYTGCCTGTATTGCAAGTTTTTAGCTAACTGATTTTTCCCAAAATCCTCCAATCCGAAGCTGATAGGAAAGGCCCCAAGAGGTCAATTCTCACCCGGTCAAGGGGCTCACCTGGTTTCTGAAGACGAGCGCCACGACTCCCCCGGTGAGCTCAATCAGCAGGCACACACCAAGGATGTACATGAACTGCACAAAAAAAGGGAGAAATTTCAATAACTCCTCCAATTAGCGCGCTTAACCCCACAATATTCCCCTGCCGGGGCACTCGGCGCTTTCCTATGGTAATTTCAGTTATAATTTGGGAAAGAGCAATTTTGTTTTTATTAAATTGCTCGTGCCACAAAAATAAGAAGCCTTTTTCTCACTTGACTGATTCTGGTTTTTTTTGTTCTTTATTTTTTGCTTTTTTCTTCTCCCCAGTTGGCAAAAAAAAACCCATTATTTTTCCGCTCTGTCTGAACAGCATCCAAACTACGAGCCGCATTCGTCATGCCAAGAGCCTTCCCTCTCCAAGGGCATCCTCATCCTCGGAGGAGCACGTTAATGAACTGCCACGGAGCACGCAGAACATCAGGTTTTTGTGCTTCCCACACAGATAGCCGTTATCTGCTCCCTTTCGGCAAAGCCCCGCTTGGCAAAATCCCGCTTTAAGACAAGCCAAGCCTTTTTCTGTTAAATCACCAGCATTAAGGCAAAGGAGAACTCGGCGCCTGGTACTTTTGGAGCACGTTGCTTCAGAAGTGCAACTCAATAGTCCTCCTTTAGCAAGCTGGCTCACAGTACAGGTTGTGTTATGAGTAATAGGATTTAACAACAGGATTTATTATGCCCAGTGGTAAGAGAAATTATAAATATTATTTGTATTAATTTATTTCCCACAAGTGTCTGCACATACATGGCCATGGGTGTGCAGAAAAGATCATTCTTGCGTGATTTCAGGTCTGCTTCTTGATGCAGGTGCACAGAAAACATATTGCACTATTTCTGATTCAAAAGACGCTCCCAAACTGACCTATTTGCCCACTCCAGAAGGTCCAGGTGATTCCCTTTCAGCAAATTTTGGACATGAACCCAGCATGAGGACCACGTGCCCATGCTCCTCTTAAGGACCACAGAATCCTTATGGATGGAAAAGACCTTCAGGATCACCCCATGCTCCTCTTAAGGACCACAGAATCCTTATGG